TGGCCCCGTTTAGAGGATTCAAACCATTTGCAAAGAACCTTTGGGTTGCTGGCAAAGAAGCAGAATACAAAGCAAAACCCTTTTCCTTTGCTAGCAAGGAAAGTTGAATGGCATGTCAACTTGGCAAAAAGCAGCATTGTGAAGAAGTATTCCTTTTATTTTCCATGCCCGTTCCATTAGGCTGAGGTATTCAGAGATTATCTATACAGTAAAGTCTAAAGAGGTCAAAAGTGGTTTAATGCTTTGGTTCAAGCAAGGCACTGGTCCAGTTTAACGTGATTTGCCATCTGGTCTCATAGAGTTTTATTGTTCTGTTATTGAAGGAATAGTGTTGTAAACATGTTACCGCTGTACGCTTACTAAAGTAACTTTACAGATAGAAAATGCGAGATTTAGCAGCACAAGTTCCCTTTTCATATGCAGGCAATGCATGAAGAAAATCGTTGGTATTCATCAGTGTAATTAAAATCACCCATGGAAAATGGAATGAGGTAGCATCTCTGTTTCACATGATAAATAGCATGGGGGTAACACTTTTCTTCTTCTCCTTCTCCTTCTCCTTCTCCTTCTCCTTCTTCTTCTTCTTCTTCTGTAGCCTTCCAGGCTGCTCTTATTAGGCCTGTACGAAATGCAAGCACGGCCCCTACTTTCTGAAAAGGATGCCCCAAGTGGGGATGAGCAGAGTTCTGGATGGAAGCAACTCTGAATAGCAACTCTTCTGAAGAAAGTGCAGGGTCACAATCTGGGTTTGCTGATTTTCTTCTTTCCGCAATTTAGGTATTGACTTGCTTTTCTTCTACCATGCTTGGCCTTTGCTGGAAAGTGATGTCAGATCCACATATAAGGAAGTCAGCAAATAAAGAAGCTTCGTGTTCTACAGCAATTGTAGAAAACCCTGCAGCTTAAGGTCAAAATCACCCTCTTGCTGCTTCTCCTAAGAACAGCTAACCAATGCCATAAGTTGGTTTAATGTTATAAGCGATATCGACTAACTGGTTTAAATATTTTATAATGGGCGGAGAGGGGCAGAGAGGCCATCGGGTCCTTGCCGATCCTTAACTTTCACAAAGAGCAAAATTGTTTTTTTATACTTAGACATTTTAGTGACACCTACGAGATTTGTCAGACCTGAAGACTACAGTCTTATCTCGCTGAACAATTTCCCTACGGCCTTCTCGCTGGGTGAATTGCTTTCCTTCCTGCGGGCTATATGGGCAAAAACTGAAACTGAATGTATATGCTAGTGTTCCGCTTATAAGTATGATGGAGCACAAAATTTCCATTGCTAAGCAAGCCGGTTTTTAAATGAATTCTGTCCCGTGTTGTGACCTTTTTGCCACAGTTGGTAAGTGAATCGTGCGTGTTAAGCGGATCTGGTTTCCCTCATTGACTTTCCTTGTTGGAAGCCGAGTACAAGTGGTGGTCGTGTGACCCTGGACAGTGCAACTGTCATAAGTACATGCCAGTTTCCAAGTGCCCAATTTTGATCGTGTGACCGTGGGGATGCTGCAACGGTGGCCACAAGTGTGAAAAACCCATCATGCCACATTTTTCAGTGCCGTTGTAACTTTGAATGTCACTAAAGGAACAGTTGTAAGACAAGGGCTATCTGTCCCAAAGCACCGTGGGGACAACCGTAACCTGGATGACTGAGAACCTCTACAGACTTCAAGGACTATCTGTATATACAAACTTAAATGCCAAAATTTATATTTATGCAGACAAAACCAGCTTTTAAATTCCCCTTCCTACTCCCCTGTTTCTTTTTGACCTGTATTTGCCATGAGTACTATTGTGCCAGAATAGCTATCGATCTTGCACTGTAATTAAAAGGTTGCTTGTTGCAATTTTGTAAAAAATATGTTTTATTATTTTTTTCCTGAGTTTCCTACTGTGCCTTTTTTCTAGTCACGTGGAAATAATAGATATTTGCCCCAAGTTCCCAAATATCCCACAGGTTATTTGAGATGATTGGAAGTTAAGGATGAAACCATCTTACTTGAGATGACTCCTTATATGGCACACCGCTGGACTTAAAAAAAGTAAGAGCAGAGAACATGATGCGCATTAGCATGGCTGAAGAAGTATCCCTTCCGCTGTAAAGTAAGCAACGGCCTGCTGCCTTAGCCTGCAACAAACTGAGAGAACGGATGAAATGAGTGAAGAATGCCAGTGTTAATTTCCATGTGATAACTTTCTGCTAACTAAATAAGGAAGTTACCGCTTAAATTTCAGCATGTTCCAATAGAGCAGCACAGCTTGTCATCTGTATGACTTTCTGTATAAGAAATGGGATGCCAACGTTGGCTTCCTTAGAAACATGCCCCTAACATACAGATCACTTAGTGGGCATAAGAGCAGACGGTTCCGAAACTAACACAACATCACTGCATCTCAGCGGAGTAAACCATATTGTACAGCAGCCATCTTCTTTATCCTACCTTTATGGCGACAGATTAAACTGGTCTTCTTGGATCTCTTGGCTGGAGTTCTGATATTTTTTTGTGGCTGGGTCGTTGTCCGAGATGCCAAGCTGAAGACTTCTTTATGAGGTCTTCTCGAGGAAACTGATATTCATTTTCTTTATTTCTGCAGATATAGTGTGGATACTCCCAAATCCTAATAATATCTAGTTTTAATTACTGGGATGGATGGATGGATGGATGGATGGATGGATGGATGGATGGATGGATGGATGGATGGATGGATGGATGGATGGAT